CGACGGTTCGCACGCGTGTCGCGATCGACGAAAGGAGAAAAAAGAGGAGTCGCAAGTTGCGCCTCAAGTTGCGTCCCACCGCGTTATTTAGCACCCTCGTAAAACACTAACACAGCCTGCGCAATATTTCCGTCGGTTACCGTCGACGCGCCGTTACGTAAAGTAACTTTGTGTCCTCGAGGCAAACTGCTGGACCCGCCGAGTACCAGACGGGAGTACCTTTCATTCAATCGACGTGCGCGCGTCGCTTCGTTAGCGGAAAAATATATGTTAATTGCGAGAACAGAGTCGTGCACAACGTACGTAACATCGTGTGGCACACGTAACGATCCGTGTAACGATCGAGGCAATCATCGGCAACACGCCGGCGATGATACCGTCGGTATATCAATGACTTATCAACGACGAGCTCGCGATTCTCTATTTATTTCTGCCGTAGACCAGTCGAGCTTGTTATTATCTCACCTAAATCAGATTAACAATCAGATTACATCAAGAGTTAATTGAAGAGAAAAGGTAAGCGAGTTTTTAAAAAAAAAATGCAGGGTTCGACGGATAAGTGATTAATAGAGGTAATAAAGGATAAACGATAAACATTGTTATTTATATTTTAGTTCTGCTAACGCGTATATAAAAAAGTTTCTCGAGTTGAAAGATTCACTAATCGAAGAATTAAGCGAAATAATAACAAAGAAAATAATCAAGAATCCATGAATAAATGTTATCCCAACTTTCGTAAACTTGCACAACCAAGTCAGTTATATTGCTCTTAAAATTTGTTTAATTAAATAATAAAGAGGTAATAATATTAACAAGGCGCAGCGAAAAATAAATTAAAGTATATTGTCTTCTCAAGTGGATGTATCAAAGTTCACATCGTGGACTTTGCGATTAACATTATCCTAAATCCTTAATCCTAAATCCATCCTCTCGGATCGGGAGGAGGATACCGTTAATGAAGCATGGCGATAAATCTACGAAATCTGAAGAAGAGTTGAAAATCTAATACGAATGGTGTAATTTAGCACTTTCATAAATAGTCAAGACCGACTTTCCGAGTGCCACAGGTAGAAATCGATAACGTCCATGGAGCAGCGCCGTCTTGCGCAACCCTGTCGTCGGCCATTGAATTATTCATTCATTAATTTTCGGTAGCTGTCCGCGCCAGAAGATCGGCGAATGAGCGGCGACACTCTCGTCTCCTCGTCTCTCCTCCTCGCGCAGAGTCCCGAGCGGTTGCCGGCCGCACACGGGTGACACAGTGCGGACTCGCTCCGGTAATGTTTTCATCAGCATTTCGGCCGTCCAGGAATGGCGGACCATATTTTAAGGTAATAATTTTCGCCGCGGTCGATGGCCCGGCGCGGCGCAATGTGGCGTGGCGTGGCGCAGCGGCGTCGAAAACGGGGACACATCGGCTCCTTTGATCGTGCCCGAAGGGGCCCGTCGAGGGCCACGCCACGGGGCCATTATCGACCTTTAAGGACCTTGCTGCGACTCTTGTGGAGACCGGTTACCATAACCGCACGCTATAACCGCTCGCTACGCCGGGAGGAAGAGGACTTTCCAGAGGTGTTATGGAATTCCCCGAGCGCGTCCTCCGGCTCTGGCCGAGCTTCGTATTTTTCCGCGCTCCGTTGACGTTGATCGTCCTTGGACAACCGTACTTGTGCACCCGACGATACTCGTTAAATAATTCTGATTTGATGATTCAGTCATCCCATCCAAATTAGAATCTCGTGGAAGATAGAGAAGAGACAGAAGATTTCATCTCCGAGATTTCATTTTCGCGTATTACTCGTAAAAGTCGAATGCCTACCTCTGTTTTAACTGAATATCGCTTCTACGTCATGTCACGTGTTTCTTCAAGTACATACGGTTTGTATGCGTTATTAATTTATCGCGGCTCTCGATTATTCCGATTTGCAAATCCGGCGAATTAGTAGGGAGAACGTGGGAATCGCGCGTCTCACGGTCACGACGCTTTTTCCACCGCGGCGTCGCGATCGACTGATGAATTTTTCATCGGGTCGGGAGATGCAAAGTAGCTGCCTGGTAAAAAGTATACAACACGTTCGTTATACATTCGTACATTCGTGTCCATACGTATCAGAGAGACGCCCCCTTCCTCGCCGACCCCCGCGCCGATCCGCGCAGCGGCGCGGTTCCCGCCGGTCACAAAGGGGATCGTTCATCACTTCCAGAAGTCACGAAAGAAGCGAGCACCTCTCCGCTCAGCCGGGGCCGGGAACGCGGCGATTTTGTTTGCAAACGATCCCGGCATGCCCGGCTACCGCAGGAAAGTGCCGCCGCGAAATTGAATTCGCCACAGCGGCGCGGCGAACTCGCCATTTTTCGCCTTGACTAATCGATACGGTGATATCATAGTTCGCCACCCACGTGGAACGGCGAGGATCGTAGGACGCGACAGATCCACGGCGGCGTGGCGTAGCGCGGTGTGGTGTGGTGTGGTGTGGCGTGGCGTAGCGTGGCGTGGCGTGGCATCGCGAATAATGGAGACCGGTTGCGGCGACATCGACTTTTTGAGTTATAAACGGCTGAGAAAACTAATTATATTTTGCTACTATCCCGCCCGCCGTTTTAATGCCGGTTTAAATTGAGCTTCAAATTGAGCTTCAAAGACAAGTCGCGCTGTATATAATAATAATTTAACGATGCTAATATTGTACATTGACACTTATAATAATTTACAATCGAAATCATGAATTACAAATAATATCAATAATATGGATGGTAATAATTCAGGATAATGTTACACTTGCGTGTTACGGAATATATTATCATAAATTTGTGTAAAATTAGAAATCCACGGTGGAAGGAACCGCGGCGGTCGCGATACGAAAAATCGACGCTGCGACGATAAGTTATTATTCCCTCGCTAATTTTACAGGCGCGCGATGGGCGTAGAGGTACAAAGCAACCGCCGAAAAGCAATTTGCTCTAGTCTGGTGTCTGAATTAATCACCCGGCCATACTGCCGAGCCGTTTAAATCGCTTCTATGCGCGACGATCATTAATTCAAATCACTAGGTTGAACTACTTTTCCTTCCGGCGAACTTCCGACAACACGGGAGAAGCTTAAGAACCTCCCGAGCGTGATTCGACTTCTGACTTAAAGTCAAGCCGCCGGTAATCCGCGTTTCGAAAATTCCCTCCGTGCACGCATTTCAACGAGTCCCGTTGCATACGAGATTCGCCATGGACTCGTCGACATGCGCTCGTGTTTTTCCGAGATACGCAAAAAACGAAAACACGCGTCGCGCTGCAAGTTTACAAGTTACAAGTTTTCGGCGCGTTGTCGTTCGTTTATTCACGACGGTTTCGCATTTGCGCATCGCTGACAAAAGCGAACGGGAATCTCTATCCTGAAGATCAGGTCGAGCGAACACCGGCGCGCCGGTGTTGCTCGATGAGAGAAACGCCAAGGCCTCCGCGGCGCACCGCGGAGAGATCTCTTTTTCTCTCTCGGAATCGCGCCGATCCGTCGCTTAATCACGCAAAAACATCGATCTTTCCCCGCGTGATTCACCGCCGTCGTGATAGATCGTAGAACGGGAAGATCGTAGGCTGCTGGATGGGCTCGGGAAAGGTGCCAGAACGGCACCGGGAGATCATCGCTCGATATCGCGCGGACCTGCGAAAGCCGGCGAGAAAAAAATACGGGGCACAACTTTGAAATTTTTATCATCGTATCATAAATATGCTATGCGCCATATGTATGAACCACGCATAAATCGACGTTTTTAAGATGTACTTCTGATCGTAGCAATAGCATAGTAAGAAGGATAGTCGGCGCATCTATATTCATCGATGCATATGTATACATGCAGATCGTGAGCGTGAGCTCTAATTATACACGCGGTATTTAATAATACCACTTGACGATAATAATAATTTCCTATTTGTGTAAATAATTAATTTCTAATAATCATCACTCATTTAGAGCGCTTTAAGAAAATATAGTGGTAACATCGATGTTTTGCGAAGAGTAGATTTAAAAACTTGTTTCTTAAATGGAAAGATAATTCTATTAGACGTCAATCAATTTTTCCCCTCTCAACATTGACAGTCTTTATTTCTTCGCGTCAGAAAACACGTTGCTTATGTCAACAAGCGATTTTATTAGAAATTATGATTAACTTGTTCCATATCAATTGTTATTAACTTTTATTTTTTCAAAGATAATTATGAGTCGAAAAGATCCCTCCGGTGAGACTTTAAACATATTCACACGAATCGAAATTTTTACTCTTACTTTTGACCTTAACTTTAAGATTTATAGATTCTAGAGAATTGTGCTAGAATGTTTATTTTATACTGAATTTCTACTTTGCATCTGGAATAAATATCAACAATATACAATACATAAACAATTTTCTACTTCGAGATTCAAATTGGAGTTTTTGGCTATCTTCAATAGAATTTTGTGATTTTGAATACGCAGAAAGAACAGCAAATTTAAAAATTTTTATCTAAATACAAAAAATAATTTTGGAAGCCCAACAAAATTTGGTAATGTTTAAATTGATTGCTACATAAAAAAATTAGTTTGAAATAAAAAAAAATTTCATATATAAGCAAGAATATTATAATCTTAAAGTTTTAATCTTGATTCGATTGAATTTGTATTGATGTAAACATTACTTTTGCTCAATTTAAAATAAAAATTTTCTATGAAGATTATACATAATATTATAAGAATATATAATTTTGATTTAAAACATTTTTGCGATACAATACTTTTATTATGATGCTTAAGCATCCTATAATAATTTTGATGATCCAATAACATTATTTTTAAATTTATATCTGAAATTTTTGGATTCGCCAGTAAAACTGGCCTCTCCGCGTAAGAATTGTAAACATGAAATAACACTAAAAGTCGATTTTTTTTTTTTTGTAAAAAGGGATGTAAAAATCCTAATTGAAGTTAAAAGTAGAATAAAAATTTGGATTCGAGTGTATGTGCTGCCACTTACCTGAAGAAGTCGTTTCTGCAGAAGAGCTTCGCCTCCCTGGAGAAGCACTTGTCCTGCAACGCGGTTCTGCAGTCGAAACAGCGCACGCACTCGACGTGCCATGCACGGTCCAAAACGTTCAGCAGGTACTGATCCATTATCGGTTTCTCGCATCCTGCACATGACAGGAGCATCGCCAGACCGCGTCTCCCTGTTGAAATTAAAAGAGAATACATTACGCACTTCCATTCCCTTGAATCTTAACGACGTGACATTTCGGTCCGTAACAAACTTACTCAATATCCTCCTTTTTCCTTCCTTTTTTTTTATCCCTCTTTCTCCCTTCGTTTCGGTCTTTTCAAAGATGAAACGCGCGAATCTTTTTGCGCTCCGTCAAACGACTCGATCTGATACATCCAATTTGAAAATTTCAATTTGAAATTTGACGAAATATTAACGCACGGTTATTAATGCACGCGTAGCGGACACAAACGTTACGTCATTGGTTCCGGGCAAAGCTTAAATTAATATTGGTTCTGCACGCAATGTTGAACATTTCGCTGTAAATATGCGCTACGCATTCCGCGTAACGCAACGCCGGCTTTACGCGATTTAATGTAATCGTGGATGCATCGCGCGATTCAAATCGCGACGCGCGCGAGCGTTTGCGTTTATATTCGCCGAGAATATTCTCTTTCCTTTCCTTCGAACCGGTACAATCGTGCGCTCTCTAACGCCAAAAGAATTAAATATAACGCTCGCAACGTTATCGTCGCCTTTGCGACACGCGCGTATTTATTTATAAATACTAATTTCCGGCTCGTTTTCGACACGGCCATCGAGTAATTATCACAATGGAAACTCGATCGGAATTACGCGCGAAATTATCCGCAATGAGTCGAATTAAAGTCACATGCAGATACGCAAAGTAAGCGCGCGTAGCGATGATTTGTTAAAAAAAAGAAGGGAAAAAAGGGGGAGGAGAAATGGCTTATTAATTAATCGCGCTGCGAGCATCGATCGAAATAACGCCTTTCGAGCGTGCCGCGGGTTTTATTTAGAAAGAAGATTAAGCGCTTTCATTGTAGGAGCGCGCGTGCATAACGAGGCGTGCATTGTACTGGGCTTTTTTGTATATTCGACGGTTAAATCGCCGTACGATCTGGTTGACACAGCCCAGATCGGTGGAAAAATACAACAATGCGACATAATCGCCGTACTAATCACGTAAAGTGGCAACTAATCCGATCCGCGAGAAAAAAATTTCCGTTTTTACGAGCTGTGATAAGATTGATGACGGAAGTCGCGTGTTCCTTTCAAGTTTCGCGGATTCTCTGATGAATTTGGGGCGGACGATTCCTTGAAGGAATCTCGACAGCATACCGCGCGCCTCCGCAGAGCCTCCACTTTCATTGAACCCAGTCTGATATTCCTATCTTCTCTTTTTGCTGCTACCAAAAATGCAATAATCTTTTTACCCGTAATTCAAATCAATTTTATATAATTTTATATATAAATTATTTAATTATATATTTTATTATATAATTAAAAGACATTTGAAGTGAAATATATAATTTTCAAATGAAAGAAAGTTGATAAATGCAGATGTTGATAAATGCAATGACAAACAACGGAATATTGAAACATCTTTTTAATCAAAGTATAAACCTCGTTAAATGTACAATATGAATGAATAATTATTGAGCCGGGACAATCACAAATATAGTTTCCATTAATAGCACAAAGCTTATAATATTTAACATCTGAAAATATCTACATTAATTGTACATATGTAACTTTTTATCTTAATTCAGACCAAACGCAACCGTATTTTGTTTTAATTGTATACGTTTTTACATTGATATCACACTACATTATATTCGAAAAATCAACAAAGCAATCTTAATTTCTTGTCAATTTAATAATTTTCCTTTACAAATATATTTTATTTAAACATTAAGACTGTAATAACTATTTTTACTTTAATTGCAAATAAACCGATATGAATAGATTGAAAGTTAAATATTGATAATCGACCTGAATAAAAAATTTTTCACTGAACAACTCTCTAAATTTGTCAAGGAAAAACGCACATTTTCTGCTGCACCCTTGCATACATATATTATTCATCGTTAATATAACAATAGCGATTAAATATATCAAAAATTACCGAGCGCTAATTGAGGTTTCAATTACCGGACATCGCTCGGTAATTTAAACATGGCAATTTGAATGTAAAATATCGCCGCGGTTAAAATGTTTGCGTTACAGTCGTCGAATGGTCAGTTGAAATTTCACCATTTTGGACTGCGTCGTGATTGCCCAGTGAACAATTACTCCTTCTGGTTCGCAAGCAAAAAAAAAAGGGGAGAATTTCGAGCGTCTCGCGACGGGGTACCGCGACCATAAATCCCGCGGCACTTAAACAAAAAGCCGCGGATTATTGCATCGACGAATTTAACGATCGCACTTCGGCATTTATAGTTGCGCAATCTTTCATCTGACTAATTTCGCGGCCGCTTTTTCGCGCGCCTTCCGCGGTGAATAATTATAATTCGTCGTTAATTAACATTCGTGAACGAGACTGCTCTTTCGTCCTTTGCTCTCTTTCTCTTTCTCCCTCTTTCTCCTTTCTCTTTGTATTTTTCTCTCTTTTTCTTTCGCTCTACCATTATCCCTTTTCCTTTTCTTCCCTCCGTTCGCCCTCTCGCGGAAGTTTTTATCGCCATCATTGAGACCCACGGAATTCACCCTCCTCTTCCTTTTTTTCCGCGGTTTCCGCCAATGGGCGGAGTCCCTCTGCCTGGCTGGCAGGGTTGTCAACCTAGCAACCCTCCTCCCACCCTTAAGATCTGACCTTGCGCATCTCATCCCTCTCGCGGAAGAGCGAGAAAGGCAAGGGTGGTAAAACGGCATCGGCGTAGTCCGTGAACGTTCGCAAGTTAACTTTGAGATCGTAAACTATTCCGCGTAATCGACTCGCATGCATCTCAATGTTGATGTTTTAAAGCGAATGTTTTTGATTTGACAAGAAAAATCTAGTGGATGATACAAATCTTAACGAAAAGAATTTAGATTCAACAAAATTTAAGGAAAAAAACTTATTTAATTAATAAATAATTTCGCAATTATCGCTCTTAAAATTCCTGTTTCTGAAGTTATTCCATATATTGTTTCAAAAGTAACAATTAAATTTTAACAAAGTATACAAAGAGATTGAGTTATAAAAAAAATAGAACTATTAATGTCATAAGCGCTAAAATTGTTTAGCAAATTATAGCTTATGTAATATTATTTATATATATTTTTTAATTCTATCAATTGAGTTCAAATTTCCATAATGATCTGTAGATATAAAATTTCCAAAGTTATATAATTAATAAACATAGAATGACAGAAAAAAATCGAAATTGTGGATTTGGCAATCAATCACGTATAGTAATTTCAAAAAATTCTACTACAACAATTAAGATTAAAATACGTTTTTAAATTAATAATGTATATTAATAATATATATAAAACTAGAGTTGGTCCTTTAATCGTTGTGATGATTATAGTTGTTTAAGGTTATTTTTAGGAAACGAAATTATGGCCGTTCAAGCAGTAAATTATTATCTAATCGCGAAATCAATAACATAAATTAAGGTAACACGTTTAAGAACTAATCTCGCGTATAAATACCACGTAGAATTCCAGATATTATCGTGTAACGATAACTTAAATGCTTGAATAGGTCTTAACGAAAACACATACAAAATGTCCATGCATGGATCAAAACCGATTAAAATAAAATGCTCAAACAAGCCTATTCTCAGCAGAGGCATTAAAAAATGAATATTTAAAACAATCAATAAACCCTCTTTAACACGAAATACTAAAAATATCTCAATTTATGTATATAATACAACAAAAAAATTGTAAGAGAGCAGTAAAAAGAAATAAAAATTTTTTGTTTCTTACTTTTGCATCTTACTTACTTCTTACTTTTGCTTCTTACTTTTACTTCAACATAAAATAGATTTGTAAAATTATTTTTAGCTAAAATATTTCTTTGTTCACTATATAAATATCGAAATGTCTGTCACATATACGATCTCGTGTATTAATAAACAACAAACTTCGCATGTGATTCTCTTTAACCGGAAAAAGTGAGAGATAGGAAACCATCGATAGACCTAGTTAGTTGAATCGCATAAACCAGATTAGGATTAGTAAGACGTGAGATGAAAATCCTGTTGATCCAGCGACATCGCATTGCTTAATCCGATTTTTTCCGGCTGGACGTCACTGCTCACGTCATGCCGAATCTCATTTTGTACCAGCGGACGAGACTTTATCGAGACGTCTTTATTCCAAGTGTCAGAACCGTCCTTATCATAAATGACGTCATAGAATAGTATGATAGAATAGTATGATAGAAGAAACAGAAATTTTTAATGTAATATTAACGACTATTTGTTATTATTACAAAATAGAAGGTATAGAAGATAGTCATATTATTTAACTGGATACGAAATATAAAATAATTCAGGCCACCAATCAAAATAATCTAATGTTAAGACACATGGAAAAAAAAGAAATAATAAAAATTTGAAAAAAATATTCATAGATTATTTCTCGATTATATTTATATCTAATTTATACTCACTTAAAGATTTTTAAAGACAGTTTTATGATTCATCAACAGAAATAAAAGTCCAAAGTTTCACCGGCAATACAAAATCTGTCCGATTTGTCAGATTTGAAACTAACGTTAGAATAACCAGAAACTTCGCGCATAATTTCTAATGCAATCGCATTTGACGATCACCCCAATTCATATTTACGCAAGAAATATACGTAAGAAATAAATGCCCTTACGTGTGTGCAACCCCACTCTCGCATATATATTTCGACATGCGCGTTCTCATCCCCGAACTTGCGGTTGCCGACGACGTGGAGGGGTTGAAGTAGGAGAACGAATTTCAGCGAATTATCTTAATCAGTCTAAGATCGCCTACGTCAGGTGCATCCAGACTCGGCAAACTATCGCGACGAAATTACTATTTTCCGAGAGTCTCGCCGGCGGCGAATCGATTTGCCGATTTTGGTGAATCAGAGACCAGCGAGACACAAGAAAAAAAAGTGGAATATTCGAAAAACTCAAGAAGATAGAACTCTCTAAGTTACCTCGTTAATTGTGTTTAATTGCCTAAGATTAGTTGTGAGATAATGAGAGTTTTTCGCGATCCGTGAAAGGAGAATTTGAAGATATATTCTCACTGATTTTGGTATCAATTTAAACTGAATGATTAGTATCTTTTTATTCTTTCTAACGAAATTGATGACTAATGCAATAAAAATGAATGGAATTAGTTAAAGAGTTTATGTAATGAGTCATGTAATGCCGATGGCAAAGAAAATACTTTAAGAATTATGAAAATATATAAGAGATAATTTTCAGTGTTTGATTCATCAATTTATTGATTATATTTAAATTCGTTAACTGATTGATTCTTTGACTGATTTTTTTATCATTTCATGTTTGAAAATATTCGTATATTTTTATTCATATAAATCTTTTTAAGATATATAAAAGAGTATAAATTCGCATGGAAAAGAAATATAAATTTTTCACGCAAACTGAAGCTAAAATTATAGAAAAAAGTAACTAAATATTTCATGTCATTTAAATGTAATTACATTTAATAATTCTCATTTCATCACTACATATTATTACGGAAATCTCTTGTATATCAAATAAGAATTATGTATAATCGCGCAAAACATCTTAGGAAAAATAATTAATCAAAACTCATTTTTCGTAGCGGACGCATGTTTCCTGTCTCTCACGTGCAATTTCAAACTAATTATGTCTGATCATACTCACTTTTACTACTAGATTAATATTCGAGTAATCCACATGCGGCTTGTTTAAAAATATAAATAAAACTTTGCGTGACACATACAAAATTGTACCACTCGCTTTCGCACATGTGACAGACTTCACCGAAGCGGGATTTAAATACATTAACATACTTTAAAAACTTTCCTGCCTTCCCCTGTACCTTACGGATAACTTCGGGCGCAAGTCTATCGTGTAAAGACACCTCCCCACACGTCATTTCGATCCGCGCAATTGCGATGTAGCGAGCGGAAAAAAAGTGCGTCGCTCCTTCGATCGTAGCATAGATTTGCATGCATAACGTCGCGGGACTGCATTCTCTATCGAGCAGTTCATTGACTTGTGATCTATTCGTGCGTGCAGCTTCTCACGCGTGACGTTTCTTTCGCAGCGAGAGAGAAAGAGAGAAAGAGAGAGAGAGAGGAGGGGGAGAGAGAGAGAGAGAGAGAGAGAGAGAGAGATGGGACAGGGGAAGGAAAGAAGAGAGAGAGATTCACACCCTTCGCGAGATTGATTGAAATGGCACGACGCTCTCGCGAACGGCAACGCGCGAAAATGAGCGGAAAAATCGTCCACAAAAGTTTCGCATACAGCAACAGGTACTTTGCGACAACGCACCTTAGCACCGAGAACTCTCGCGAAGAAACCGGCGACTCGCGTAAAGTCGTTTTAATTAATAGAACGCCGCGATTCTAGAAAATACGGTCGAACTTTTCGATGTTGTGAGATCGATAAAGGGATAAATCGAAATTTATGGAAATTTTAAAAGGCATTCTATATCATCCGAGTTATATGTATGCGTATGTGCGAACTTCGGACCTGGTCAATGTCTAAAAGAGAAATGTGAAAAGTACACTGAGCAATATAGAATTAGAAATTAATGAAGGGAATTAATATTGCAAGGAAGAAGTTATTAATTAATTTCTTCTTTCTTCGAGAAAAATCTTAGGGACGTGAATCGATTGTCTGTCTAAAAGATATGTATTTCAAAGAGGGTTTGACTTCAACAAGGCTGATCCTGTCTGACGCGTCGCGCACGGAGATCCTGCACGGTTCTCTGGTGCGTTAGGCATGACATTGGTCTGATGTTGCGCTATAAGGGATATGTTGTTTTAGAATCGCATAAAAAGGTCACGCAATTTACCTGCGTAAAATAAGAAAATTGCGGATACTCAAAAAAAAAATGGATTTAAAAAATGCTCGACAGAAATTGTAATATATAAGTTATACAAGAGATTTAGAGAATAGATAAATATATTGTCACGATCTTGTAACCGATATGTTCCAAAAAATTACTATTGTACTTATATTCTAAGATATTTGTGAGAGAAATCGTTGATTTTCAAACTATCGCGTAATTCTTGTTATTCACATATTAACAGTTGATATTTTCAGAAGATCTTTTATACAGAAAACTTGACCAATATCCATTTTTATCATGCAAATTAACTGTAATTTCGGTTTAATTTATTTTTTTTATGTCTTTTTAATTTAAGAATTAGGAAAAAATAAAGAATAAATTAAACCGAGATTAAAGTTAATCTATTCTAAAAGCTAGTCTATCTTAACAGAGAAATAGATATAAAGCTATCAACAACTATTAATTTTCCGTGAAAAAGAAGTGGATTTGAAACATATTATATTGGGATTTGCAATCGTGGAATGGTAACTATATAATGGTAACTATGTAATGGTAACTATATAAAATTTTCGTATAATTCAGAGCAGCGGCAGCAGTCCCATAGGTATCGTGTGAGTAACCATGTGTCAACACTTACTCGCGAACGACCTTTCGGCTTCTAAATCTAACTCCGAGTAATCTCCCGAGAGAGCAGCGTGCGCGTGAAAGGATGTCGTGCGCAGCGAGACCCATTTACGGGGCCCGAAGGTATAACGACTACTACGTAAACGACGCGTTTTCACATGCTTCTTACCTATGTTACAAGCCTGGGTGACGGGCAGGGGTGCGCAGCAACGCCCGCCAAGGGCCGTGACCCTTATCCGGGGGGTACCAACCCCCCGGGGCCCCCTCCCCCGCCCCCGGCGCCCCCGTAGCCCTCCACCTCCCCAGCCGCGACCGCGGCCACCCCTGCCCCCACTCCCTCGCCGGGCCCGGGTCCACCACCAGGCCCACCTTCGACGGGCCCGTATCGGCCGAACGGTCCCGAGGGCCCCAGTGCACCCACTTTTACTGCGTTGTTATCCCAACGGCCGTTAAATCGCACTTCTCACACTTTCCCCCCCAATGCCAGTAATGTGCCAGCGTTTACTTCAACTTCCTTCCGCGGCACTCACTGCAAAATTTTCCGTCGTGCTTGACTTCCGCGTGTTTGTTCCTTACACCCCCTCGCGGCGCGGCACTTCTCGCGGTGAACTCCTCGTGTGCGACCACCTCGTCCCGTCGTCCACGAAGAAGAAGAGTTGTCACCCTCGAACTCTGGCGCATACGTTCTTTCAGCTGTCGTTCTGAGAGCACCTTGTCCTCATTGCGATCTGCTCGCTTTCTCGTTTGACTTCTTTAATGTCTCTTCCGGAATACCAGAGAGATACCAATACTCCTCCGTTTACGATTTTACGTCGAGTATCTTACACACAATCATGACGTCGCTCGTTTGAAGTATCGTGCGCGATACTCGAACGCGCGATGAATGATCTTGATTTTTTTGTATTGAGAATCGCTTCTTTGTTTAGAATGGTTTAGCATGAAAGAATGAACCTCGGACTTTGTCCGAACATCGAGTGATCTCTCGCTCGACCTCGCGGTAGATCGTTTCTCCGTTTCGTCGAGCGTGCCGGCGAATCGATCCCGAAGATGACAGACAACGGCGCGTCGTGCTTACGTCGCGTTTGTTTCGTGCACTCCCGGTGCGGTCGCGAGTGTTAGTCGGTGGTGACTTCTGGATCGGCGCGCTAGCCGCTGGCCAATGACGCTTTCTTTCTTTCTTTCTTTCCTACTATCTCTCTCCCTGTCTATCTCGAGGGGGGACCGGAGATGCCGGCGTACAGGCGCGATACGTCACGTCACGGCAGCGGCGGAGCGAACACGACGATGACGCGAGCACGCTCGCCTCGAGTTCGCCAGCCAACTGGCTGCACCTGCGGTGTCTGCGAGCGTCCCCCTCTTCGTCTCAGCTGGAGTTGCTCCAGGACTCGCGCAACTGACGTGGTGGCAGCTACGCCCATTGGCCACGACCACCGTGGTGGCCGTGGCACGACGGCGTCGGATTGGTTGGCGACGGGAGACACGGGCGTAGCCAAACTGGAGCGCCGCCAGACATGGCCGTGGAATGGCTGCGGAGTTGCGTTCGCTTGCGAGAGGCGCTTCCGTCGTTGCTACTACTGCTTCTGCCGCCGTTGCTGCCGCTGGCTGGCTGCTGTTGTTACTGGAAATAAGCTGGTGGTGCTGCTGTTGCCGCCGCCGCCGCCGCCGCCGCGGCCGTCGCCGTCGCCGTCGCCGTCGCCGCCGTCGACGCCACCGCCACCGTCGTAGCCGCCTGCTTCTCTTCGTCTGACACGCTATCGATCCCGCGGCGTCGCGGGAGACGAGAGGGTAGACTGCCTCGCGAAATGCCACAGGTTTCAGGGAATCTTTATCTTTCGCGCCCGCGAAGTGTGTTCTTCCACCCCCTCTTCTTCCTTCCTCGTTCCCTGCTCGCCGCGGCGCCACGCCGCTTCCACCTTGCCGTTTTCTATCTGCTCTTCTGCATCTATCTCTTACCTCTGTTTTTCTTTTTATCTAGGTGCCGTTCATTGTCTTCTTCCTCCATCGGCTTTCCGATATCGCCTCCTTCGCGTATGAACGCGTACGACTAATTCCCTTCTCCTCTTTCCTTTATCGTCGCCGGTGATTCTCCTCTCCTCCGTTTGCTGTATCTATCTTGCTCTATCTGTATCGCTTTTCAAATATTTTTCTGTCTTTCTCTTCACTTGTAAACGCGGCGAGCATGCCTCTTCGTGTCTCTTCATTGGCTCGTTGCTGATGACTCGACATGATACTGTTATCATCGATATTCTCATCCGTCTGTTTTCTGCGTCAATCCCGTTAATTTCTTTCGTCTCTTTTCCCTTCCTTCCATGTTCCTCTTGTGTGCTTCACATCTACTTTTTCCTTTTATCAATCCGTCATCCTTTCTTCCTCACTTCCCACTTCGCTTCTTTGTCCTCCTCTGACTCTTGTCGATCGTACTTGTTCTTTCATATACCGCCTTACTCTCACTTCCTTCATCGTCATCCGCTATCTTCCTTTTCTTTTTTCCTACCTTCCATGCCTATCCCATCATTTCTTCTTCTCTCACAATCTTCTTTTACCCATCTGCTCTTCTCTTGCCTTGGTTTTCTCTTCTTTCCACATCATCTCGCATATCTCTCGGTTCTCTCTTCATCTTTTCTATGCTTCCTCCATTTTGTTCTATTTTCAACTTCTATCTTCCTTAATTCCTTTTCTTCTTTATTTTCTATCGTACATACTGTACATTTTTCTATCTTCCTCTAACTTTACTTAACACCAACGTGATTTTGGTTTTAAGTGCGACTTAAACATGTACCTGTTTTTCTTTCTAAATAAATAAAGATAGACATATTTAAGCGAGAACTAAAATATATATGTTATTT